TGAGGGGTCTGTTGCTGCGGGGTGTGATACATCGGAGTATGTTGCTGAGATGGAGCATAGCTTGATGACCCTCCAGCGACATCCGGTGCAGGTGCCCACTCGTACTCAAATGGTTCAGGGAGCTCGGTTGCTTGAGTTGTACGCACCTCTTCGAAAGTAGGCAGAGGCCTACGTTTGCTCCTTCGTGGAGGCTCAACCGGGGGCACAATGGGCTCACCGTCACGGAATGATGGGCGTGCCGGAGCGGGAATGGGTGGATAGGCCACGACATCCCTCCTTTGCTCTCGGGTACAACTCAAGAGGTTGTTCATAAGCCTGCTCAACCAAGAAGTTTTGCGCTCATCCATGGTTGGAGCACTATCGAAGGTGTGTTTGGCGTGTTCCAAACCATCAACCTAAGCATGTACATAATAAATCAAAATTAATTAAACCTTAAAACAAAATAATTAGACTCACGAGGGAGATTAGGATGACTTACCAACGAACCCATCACAGCACCTTGCTTTGACACCCATCTATTGGTGAACTTCCGATACCACTGCATGTAACCATCGTGGTAACCCATCGGTGTTGTCTTCGGCATCTCTTGGACCACCCATGTCCCTCTATTCTCCCAGATGTTGATGTAGTACTGATGCTTTAGGATCCAATTCTTTGAAGCGTGTCGGAGGTCGATGGCATGGAGCTCCCTGAAACCTTGAGGTGGAGTTTGTGGAATTGGTTGCTCCATTCGATATTGCCTCAAGCAACGATCGGGTAGGTGCCACTCCACGACGTGCCAACAGATCAATGGTACCTTGCACAACCACGTCTCGTGATCCAGAGGGTTTCTAAGATGATGCAGTTCGACCACTTCACGTGGGTATGGATCCCAAATAACCTATATTCATTCAAATAATGCAATTAGCGACCATTTACATTGAAAAACATTAACTTGTTAAAATATGATAAAACATGATTACCTTATTCCACCAAGGCTTATCTAACTCAAAACGATAAAACAGTAACGAATGCTCAGGTTGATGGTCATTCGTATTTGCTCCTATCCACCTTGTAAGTAAAAGCATGAAATAAATTTAAATTAGGCTAAGTACGGATTAAATTCAATTTAAATCTAGCTAAGCATGGAATAATTTTAAATTAGGCTAATTACGTCCATAAATTCAATTTAAATCAAGCTAAGCATGGAATAATTGTAAATTAGGCTAAGTACGGAATAAATTCAATTTAAATCTAGCTAAGCATGGAATAAATTTAAATTAGGCTAAGTACGGAATAAATTCAATTTAAATCTAGCTAAGCATGAAATAATTTTAAATTAGGCTAAGTACGGAATAGGGAATAAACTTACTTGACACCATAAGGGGAATTTTGCAGAAAGTTTAGCTCATCATCGACTCTCCGGTATGGACGTGGGACTAGAGGTGCGAACATTGGAAGATGCTCCCATACCCACAACTGTAGGATAAACATCACAGCACCAGCTTGTTTTGCTCCCACTTTCGAGCAAGTGCACAGCTCCCAGTATACGCCAGCTAACACGGCCGATCCCCAACTCTTTTCCCCGATTGCGTCCCAGTCACCAGTGAGCAATGACAACCATATGCCTTGAATCCACCGGTTTGACTTGTCGGGGAAAAGAAATCCACCCACCAAATCAATGAGGTAGATGCGTGCATAGCGCTCCACTTGATCTTCCGGAGTCTCGTCATTGATTTCCACCTCATTCTGGATGTGAGTTACCCGCCACGGGATCGACACTTGTCCCGCATTCAACGGTGGATGCCCCCGTCCTTGAATTGGTGTGGTGGTCGGCATGTCAAATCCCAATTCAGCAAGAATGAGCGGCCCCCAACCTCCTTCGGGTTTGGTAGTGGAACCAATGATGGCATCTCCAGAAATCGGCAGCCCGGTGAGGATCGCCACGTCTTTGAGGGTGATCGTCATTTCCCCCTCCGCAAGATGGAACGTATGGGTTTCGGGACGCCATCGCTCCGCCATTGCCGTAAGCAGATCGTTGTCAATTTCGATCCGCATGAAATGGCGCAACATACCCAACCCGGTCCTCTCTATATAGGGCGCCAACCGTGGATGCCAAGCGGGCAAGTTTGTGGTCCCTTTATGAATGACGGGAATAAGTGATTCCTTCAAAAAAATAGGAAAAACATCAATTTGTTAAGTTTAAATAAAGCAAAATAAAACCTTAGAAAATAATAAAATAAAGCAAATAAATCATCAAATTACCGGATTGTTATCCCAAATCGCACGGGAGCGATGAGCTTCTTGATCGGTTAAGAGACTCATATCTCTTGGCCCATAATGGATATACAATCGAGGATCGTATATCTCGGCAGCCAGCTATAAAAAAAAAGTAATGAAATCAGAGATTGTTTTGATAAAAAAAATCACAAAATCAAATTATTTCGATTAAAAATAAAAACACAAAAAAAACCTACACGAAGAGCCTCTTCGTCCATTTTTTGGCAGAAGCCGGACAGAGGTTCGACGGGTTCGGGTTTGTAAGGGACAGGAGCTTAGCGGGACAGGGGCTTTAGGGTCAAACTCTAGTAATTCTTTCTGATGTGGAAGATCCGACTTAGCCGCAACCACAGAGCATACTTAGAACGAGACTAGAGCGGATAAATTGAGGGAGAAAGAATTGAAATTGTTGTGGTGTGATTTGTAAGTGGGGGGAAGGGTTCTATTTATAGGGAAGGATGGGAGGCATTTGCGAAAATTAATGGGGATGGTTCACCGCGTCCCTCAAAGGCGGTGAATGCATCGCCTTTTCCAAAAACGGTGCCAGACGCGGATCGAGCGACGTGGCGTGCTGTGAGGAGTCGGATCTGGGAAGAAAACCACGATTCGCGCCTCACAGCATCCAACGACCACGGTGAAAGGAAAAGTGACGCGGATCGCTGACGCAAACAAACACAGGGTATTCACCGTGTTTGTCTAACGCGGTGAATACACCGCGTTTGTCCACGTCAGCGATCCGCATCGCTTCATCATGGCCTACAGAAGCGGTTTAATATACACCGCGTTTTAGTAAAACGGTGATCTATTCACCGTCTGCCTCTAACACAGTGAATGACTCGCTCTTTGTTCACCGTGTTAGAGAAGAACGGTGAATACGTCACCGTTTTTTTTTTTTACGGTGAAATGTTCACCGTGTTTGACAAACGCGGTGATTATATTCACTGCGTTTGTCAAAAACGGTGAATGCCAAACATGTATAGTTTTGAAAAAAAAAATTATAACTTATGTATTTTGGAATTTTTTTTTAAGAACATGTGTACAGTGAAATTTTTTCCATCATAATGTGACAAATTTTATCGTACATATTATTTTGTTCATCGAGTACATGAACGGTATGAAGCTCTATTATTAGCCTATTGATGGATATGTGATACTTTTTAAAGATTTCTGAATTTCAATTGATTAATGATAGAGATTAGTGACTTGACTACTTTTCAAATTCCTACGTAGAGAAACAAAAATCCCCAGGAAATTGCGTTTTCAGAAGATCTATTAAGAAAATATTTGATGGTACTTTCTGAGGATGTGACTAAAGATGGGCCCAATTCAACAGAGTGATCACATGCCCATTTGAACTTTGTGGAAAGGCAACCTAGTGAGGACGGAGGAGATATGGAAAAGTTTACGAAGAAAGGAAAAGGAAACTAACCCTGTTTGGTTTTAATTTTTATTTTTTACAATGACCGTATTTGGTTGACGTGAAACAAAAATAAAACTTTGTTGAAACAAGAGCTAATATTTTATTTTGACCCGAATTATACCATATAATCAACTTTGGCCTGTGATTTCAGAAATTAACATTATGACCTTAACTATACAACATATAGACTCAATTGGTCCGATACATGGTTTGAATTATGTATTGGGCCAATTGAGTCTATATGCTGCATAGTTGCGGTCAGGATGTTAATTTCTGAAACCACGGGCCAAAGTTGATTATATGATCATAGTTCAGGCCAAAATAAGGTATTAACCATTGAAACAAAGATTCAGTTCCTTTGGCTATACTACGGGTCGTTTGGTTTTGGTGATAGTTGAATCGATGTATTATCATCAATGCGTGGATAATAATATACATGTATATAAGAAAATTGGTGTGTTGTAGTTTACATTGTTTGGTTTCTGTGATAGTTATTGTAGTGTTTAAATAAATTATATTACTTTATGGGTGTAATTTTATTTGTACCCTTTGTTTTTAGTACAAAAAAGCAACACACATAAAAAGGTAAGGACATAGTTGGAAGAAGAAAAAACACAATAATTTCAATCAAACAATCTCAACTAAAACTTAAGATTTAACTATCACTCATTTTGAGTGATAATTTGTGTCAAATCAAGCAAACCATGCATGTATTATTTGTTCCGAAAACTTAAAAAAATGATGCATTGTCAACATTATTACTACTGTCATTTCTGGTTTAATTTTCTAACCAATGTTATAATTTTCTAACCAATGTTATAATTTGATGGCATGGCATAGTATTATCTTACTAATCTTATTTCACTAGAGACAAGTTGAATAATAATGGTGAGTTGGTGACCTATTGACTAGGTGAGGTAAGTTGGTTGGTAGATGGGGCCAGTTTGGAAATTATGGGAGGGTAAGAACCCCAGACAAAAATATCCCAAGCATTTTGTAACATTTTGAAATTTTTCACGTGTAATATATTATTTGTTTCGAGTTTCGATTCTCACGAATTTTAATTTGGTATGCAATTCAATTTGACTTTTATAAGGTCATCAATACTTATTATACTCCACACTTTCGAAGTTCTCATAAAAACTCCTTCAACTAAATTAAATTCGATTTCTTACTTATGATTCATTGATCTCTCGTACTTTGTACTTAACTACTTGTTTCACAAAAAAATCCCAAGTAAAAAGTAACAGTAATTGAATTTTACACAAAAAGGAGACAAATGTATTGAATTAAATCATCAATAAATTGGATACCCCGCGCAATCCGATGCACATCTCCTCCGCCTATCAAGCAAACCAAACAGCAGGGGTCCTATTTATACCCAACATTTCCTCTCCATTTTCGACACCCACCACCGGCCTTTCCCACTCCCAACACCAAAGCCCAGAAAACTGCACCTGAGCCCTTTCTCTCTCTCTTTCCCCTGCATTCCCGCTTCCCCTGTTTCCTTCCCATCCACAGAGAGAAAGCGGCCCGTTACTCTGTTTTCTGGGCAGAGCTCGAAATGGCAATGGCAGCAAGGCAGCTGGTGTGTCTCTTGATCCTCGCCATTCTCGGTCTCTCCATGATCTCCACCGAGGTTATGGCCAGGGTACGTTTGTCAATACATAGATCCATCCCATGATATTATTATTATACACTCCCCTGTCTTCTTGCCTCTTCTTCCTCTTTCGTTTTTGCTGATTCATTTTGGCACATTCTGGGATTTGGGTTTTGTCCTCTGCAGGGGAAGAATTACGGACCTGGAAGTGTGAAGAGCTACCGTAAGTCCCCTTTTCCTTAATAATAACAATCCCCTGATCTCTCCATTGTTATTCCCCACTGTGTCTTTTAACTGTTGTCTATACTATAATCATCACCCAAAGAAAGATGCCATATTTCGAACTGTAGCTGTTGTCCTCCTGCTGCTGCACAAGCACACTCTTAAATATGAAGGAGACACATCATTAACTCATTTCACCTCTTACCCCACAACAATCTATCTTTTTCCTTCTTTTTCGCTGCTCAGTTAAAACTTAAAAGTAAATCTCTCTCTCTGCTCTGCTACCCATCGGTCAAAGACGACTCCTGGGTAACTGTGCTGAAAAAAAGTGAAAATCACCAGAACCCAAAAACCCCATTAATAGACATAGATCCACTAACTCTAGGCAATGTCGGTGAGTGTAAGAATGACCACAATGGTGGTTAATGTGCTGGTTTTGGTGGGTTTGATTTGCAGAATGCGGGTCGCAGTGCAACAGGAGGTGCGGCAACACGCAGTACAGGAACGCGTGCATCCTGTTCTGCAACAAGTGCTGCCGGAAGTGCCTCTGCGTCCCACCGGGCTACTACGGCAACAAGCAGGTCTGCCCTTGCTACAACAACTGGAAGACCAAAGAAGGAGGCCCCAAGTGCCCTTAAGTCTTAACTTCCCCATTTATTGATTAGTTTAATCATCACAACTAATTGATATTCATGTGTCCGGTGGTCCCTTCTTCGTCTTCTGTTGTCCTTTAATGATCATCATGTTCTTTCCTACTTACTATTATTATGTTGCTAAATTCCCAGAAATTATGATTGGGAAAAGGTGGTTTAGTTGTTAAGAATGTTGCGCTTAAGAATGTTGCGCTCCAGTTGTGTGAGAGCGTGTTTGACCATTTATGAGGTCAAAAGTTTTTATGTAACTCGATGTACTCCTCTATGTTTGCAATTCTGATAAATAAAAGACATATTTGGATATCTCCCCTTTTTAATTGTTCCCGCTTCGGTACTCTTATTTTTTTTGGTAGAAAAATGAGACGCTAAAAGGGCGCCCCTGCCTGAAACTTTATATTAAACGAGACTGGGCATTGCCCATAGAGTCATACAAAAGCCAAAAATTAAGACCAGGACCATCTCTCTCAATAACATGATAGCCAAGACTAAGAGAGTGCCCTTTATTGGCGAGGTAATCTGCTGACTTGTTTCCTTGCGGAAGGTGTGAGAGATCTCTATCTCCCATTCTTGATTAATAAGATCCTGCAGTTGAGACCAAAGGTTATGGTACCGACCTCCATATGTTGTATGAGAACTCATAATGCTGATTGCGGTCGTGGAGTCTGTGCGCAACTGAACTTTCCGGTGGCCAAGCTGCCAAGCGAGTTTGAGGCCCTGTATCGCCCCCATCAGCTCCGCTCTCGTAATGGTACAGGCTCCCAGATTAGATGCAAAAGCACCCAGACATCTGCCCAGGCTGTCCCGAAGAAGGCCCCCTGCAGCTGCCGAGGAATCTGGTCGCTTGACTGATCTGTCCGTGTTGAGCGTGATCCAATCTGAAGGAGGAGGGTTCCAAGCAATTTCAGTCGCCGTCCTTGTGCGTTGCGTCGTAAGGATTTTGTCATTGCTTTCTTGAGCGTTTCGGACAGTGCTGGTCCAGCTCCTAATTCTCAGAACGAGGGTAGCGGTATCTTGCTGCTTTCGGTCAAAAACCCATTCGTTCCTTCTTTTCCAGAGGTACCACGCGCCAACTCCAAAGAGCAGCCCAGTTTGAGGATTCTTCAGATGCTCCGCCATCCAATCTGCAAGGTTGAGGCCGATAGTTAGACTATTGTCGGAAATCCCGAGATCATGCCATACCTGGGTATTATATGGGCAGTGTCGGAGAATGTGTTCTGTCGATTTCGGGGCTGCTTTACAAAGATCACAAGTATCCTGTTGACAAATTTTCCTTCTCTTCCTCTCGCAGTTCGTCATCAAACGGTCATGGAAAGCAAGCCACAAGAAATGTCGTATGCGATGAGGACCATTTCATTTCCAAATTTGTTTCCAATTGGGGCTAGTTTGGGTTGGGTCGGCTTCATTATCATCCTTGCGGAACCACTCCGCAGCAATGGTATAGGCTGACTTTATCCGAAACTTCCCGTCGGCATCCAATCCCCACGTCGTCAAGTCTTCTCCAGCGTCCCGGCTTGGCGGGTCGGTACCTGCAATCAGTCGGACAATAGAGTTAGGGAGGAAATTTTGGAAAATTGGCCAATTCCACTCACCTGAGGTGTCCACCATTTCAGCCACAGAGGCGCTCCAGTTCGTAATGGGGCATTGATCGTTCACATAATCCCTCAGGATCACGCCATCCGCCACCCAAGTATCCAGCCAGAACTTCACACCCTCCCCATTCCGGATATCCCAAATGGTTCCCTGCTTCATAAGAGGAAAAGCTTCCAGCATCCCTTTCCACAATCTCGAGACGCGCTGACTCCTCATAGAAACAGTACCATCATCATTAGTTCTGATATACTTGCCCTGCAAAATTCTAATCCATAAAGCACTGCTGTCATTAATAAAATTCCAGCAAAGCTTCATAATATAGGCCAGATTAAGGGCACGGGCTGAACGAAGGCCTAAACCCCCCTCTTCTTTTGATTTACAGACAGTCTCCCATGTCACAAGGTGGGTTTTAGTGCGCCCTTCCTCTGCACCCCAAACAAAGCTCCGGATCTTTTTATCAATCACATCACAAATATGGCAAGGCAAGACTGCAGTTTGCATCACATAGTTAGGAAGCGCGTTCAGGACCGACAAGGCTAGAGTAACCCGCCCTGCGAGAGAGAGACTCCGAGCATTCCATCCTGAGAGTCTCTTATCCAGGTTTTCCAGAATGTACTTGTAGGTGTCCTTCGTGACACGCCCGTGCACAACTGGAACCCCCAAATATCGCCCCAGGTTGCTCGTCTGCTTAATTCCTAGGAGCCTGCTTATTCTTCTCTTAGTGTGGTCCCTGGTGTTCTTGGAGAAGTAAACGTAGGACTTGTCCTTGCTGACTTCTTCCCCAGACGCAGCACAAAACTTATCCAGGCAATCCATGATGGCTTTCCCCTGTTTCATATCTGCCTCGGCAAAGAGCACTAGATCATCTGCAAAAAAGAGGTGGGTGAGGGTCGGTCCCTGTTGAGATAAACAGATAGGTTTCCAGAGGCCATTATCAACCGACTCTTTAATACAGTGATTTAAACGCTCAATGCAAAGAGTAAAGAGGTAAGGGGAGAGAGGACATCCCTGTCTGATTCCGCGAGTAGGCTTGAAAGACTCCGTGCAGCTTCCATTCCATAGAACTTGGAAGCTGGAAGTAGTTACACAGCCCATAACCAGATTAATGAAGTCCCTCGGGAGGCCGGCAGCTTCAAGGGTGGAACGCAGGAACTCCCAATTGATCCTATTGTAGGCTTTTGCCAAGTCAATCTTCAATACCATATTGCCCCGCGCACCCTTCAGCTGGTTGAGAGAGTGAACCACTTCCTGGAGAATAATGATATTGTCGGTGATGTGCCTTTTGGGGACGAAACTAGTCTGATTTTCATCAATCAACCGGGGCATGAGGCTCTTCAGACGATCTGCCAGACACTTTGCAACTGCCTTGTAGCTGACATTGCAAAGCCCGATAGGGCGGAAATGTCCCATCGACTTGGGGGAATCACACTTCGGCAGCAGTGTCAAGAGGGTCGTGTTGCAGCGGGCGATGTAGTTAGGCTCACTAAAGCAGCGGATAAGATGCCGATGGAAATCATCTCCAACAGCACACCAACAATTCTGGTAGAAGACCGCATGAAAACCATCCTTCCCCGGCGCTTTGAGTCCACCCATAGCCCTGATGATACTCCGGGTTTCATCAGGAGTCGGAGCCACTGCTATACTGCGTATGAGATCTTCTCCAAGGGCTGGGAAGTTGGCTGCAACTCGTGGCCTAATGGTATTGTCTTCAGTGAAGAGCTGTATGTAGAAATTCCTGGCCATATCTTCAAGGGCTCGAGCATCCTCAATCCAAGTACCATCACCAGCCTGGAGTTTGGTTATCTTGTTCCTCCGCCGCCTAGTGAGTGCTACAGTATGGAAGTAAGTGTTGTTCTTGTCCCCATGAGTGATTGAGGTGGCCCTAGCCTTTTGCATCCAGAGAAGCTCTTCTTGCCAAAGAGTGTTTTCCAGTTCCTCTCTAAGGGTAGCTTCCAATTGGAGAACGGTGAAGTCAGGGTTCTCGTCATTCCGGGCTTCAACATCAGCAAGGCGTCTAGTCAGCTCCTCCTTCCTTCTAAGTATGTTACCAAACACCTCTCTATTCCACTTGGAAAGAGTTTGCTGGAGGTCTTCTAGGGACTCAAGGAATTCTCCTCCCGCCTTCCACGACCTGTCTATGGTGGGATGGAAGTCCTTGTGAGCTAGCCAAGGAGCGAGAAAACGAAAGGGTCTCTTGTTCTTCTTGCCACTGCTATCTTGAGCCGCCACTATCAGTAAGGGCCTGTGGTCCGAGCGAAGGCGAGGAAGGTGATTGTTAATTGTGTCAGGAAAAAGCTTCAACCACTCCTCGTTACACTGGGCGCGATCAAGTCTTTGATGGAGGCTACCCTTGACCCAAGTGAACTTTGGCCCTGAAAAACCAATATCAAACAGCCCACAATCATTAACGCATATGTTGAAGCTCTCTGTTCTAGCCGAGTTGAAAGCTGCGCCTCCTTGTTTTTCCGACGGACACCTGATGGAGTTAAAATCGCCAGCCAACAGCCATGGCTCAGATATGGTTTGCTCCAATCTCCGAATAGTGTCCCAAAGAGGAAGCCTATCCTGCTCGTTGGGTTTGGCGTATACTGCAGTGAGCAAGGCTTCTTGATTGACCTGCAAATTAACACAGCGAAAATGCAACATTTGAGCATTCCTGTCCAAAACAGAGATGTTGAGAATTGAAGAATTCCAGAGAACCCAAATGCCCCCAAAGAACCCTACTGCCTCAACCATCTCATGCTTATCAAAGCCCATCTTGCGAATAACCTCCATCGCTTCCTTGCCGCTAATACGCGGCTCAACGATGAAGACAAGGTTCGGACGATGAGTACGCATATAATTCTTAAAAACAGCAAGAAACTTTGGGTTTTTAGCCCCCCGGCAATTCCAAGTGAAAAGACTAGTCATTAAAAAGAGAGGAAAGGGGTTAGGAGAGCGCATCGGCGCTAAAGGTTCGCAGATGGATGCATCCCGACATCATCTGCGTTGGAGATTGCGGAATGGTTGATCACAGGATCCATCATCGTGGCGTCATTTCCGGGTTCGCCCAAAGGCTTCCGGCCATCATCTGGCTTCCTCGAGCAGCTCGTCATGAACTCTGCAATGGAGTCAGGGTTTATTGGAAACCCTGATTTTTTCACAAATTCTTGCAACTTCTCCTTCGCCGAGCTGGATGAGCAATTCGTTGGCTTCTTGGAGGGATCCTTTTGGATTCCCATCTTGAGTTCCTTCCCTGGTGCCAGTGGTGATTTTCTCTTGGGGTAATGGTCACAGATTGAGACATTTCCCATGTTGGGGTCGATGTTCTCTCTACTCTTGGCTGGGACAGGGAAGGAGATCGGGGTGGCAAGCTTCACCGGGGGGGGGGGGACCAGCAACTCTCGGACTGGGTTTAGGAACCACGGTCGGTGACAATGGGCTCGGCCCAGAATGTTGATTGGAGGCCTTAATTTCGGACTGGGCTTGGGCCGCTCCTGGGACATCCTTCCCACCAGCGACACGCCATTCTTGGGTCGACATCCCTTGCTTACCGCTAGATGAGACGTGACCATTGCCACCGCCTTTCCCCTTCGAGTTACCTTTCCCGGTCTTTCCAAAATTGGTTCGATTCTGATCCCCCTTCCCCGATTGAGAGCCTTTTTCGGTCGACTTTCCCTGAATACCTCCTTGATTCTGATCCGATCCCTGAGGCACGACCGGTTTTTGCGCCACTTTCTTGTTCTGTTTTTTGCTTTTCCGAGTCACTTGCATCCAGGGGCCGTAGCCGGCGGCCGGCTCCGGCGTCGACATCACAGTCGGGCTGGGGATATCAGTACTAGACGTCACCGCCGGGGCAGCTATTGACGTACACACCTTCCTCGGACAAGACTCCTCAGTGTGACCAATCCTACCACATTCAAAGCAAATTTCCGGCAAGTTCTCGTAGAGGACTGCTTGCCAAAAACCATCAAGGCGGATGCGCGTGGCCAAAGGCTTTGTCATGTCCAGCTCTACTGCAATACGAGCGGTACTCTTAAATTGTAGTTTGATGTTTCTATTAATACTCAATTATAAATACTGAGAGAGAATGGAGTAGGTAGAAGTTATCATAAATGTGACCCATTGATGGGTATTTATATTAGGAGGGCTAGAGTGAAGGCATTTAATCCTTTGTCAGGCGTCCAAAGAGACGCCTCAGGACTTATTAAATGTGTTGTCAAGATTGTACCTTTGTCAGTTTCGTACTGGGTTTGTCAGGGGGCCGTTGGGCCTTAATGTCGGGCGACCTTCCAAGATCCGGTTGAGAACGTGTCGGGCGGTCCTCTGGTTCGACTACGAAGACCGCATCCGGACTGTTCTTTCGTGCGTCCCGGGCTTGTTTGGGCCGGGTTTATCTGCTTTAAGGGCTTTTTAGTGATCATGGGCTTGGAGGCTCATATGACTTAATGATTGGCCCAACATTTGCCCCTTAGACGTGAGAGGTTTTAGATTTTCGCGGCTAACAATTGTCTTGCTGTCATTAAGCGATTTAGGGGTCGCCTTAC